CAACATAAATTGCTTGCTTTTTCGTGATCATCGTTTTTAACACTTTTTTGGTGTTTAGTTCTGTTTCTGTTATTCCAAATGACTTGTACCACATTTTTGTCATTGTTTTTACCTTTACTGTCTAATTTTATACTTACTCTTTTCATTTTATCTACATTTTTCTCTCCTTACACATCTCTAGCATTCTCCCTCGACTCCGTCTGCGTGGAATTAAAAAAAAGGCAAGTAACCTGTGTGTCATTCTACAACTGTTTAGGCTACAGACTCTAACAAACATCCATCTACCCAAACATTCGCATTTATGTTATCAGATAGAGCGTCGGTGGCTAAGTTATTAAGTTTACATGTAATATGAAGGTTTTTTTATCATATTCATTACAATCTTAATGCCATTAATTAGTGGGAAAATTATCTTAGTTTATAGGAAAGTATTAGCGTAGATCTTGAAGGCGGATGGACATGTCAACACGTGTTAACTCCGTCAACGAATTCTCTAAGAAACGTAAACATTCTCATTGGTTCGGAACATGTTTAGGTTATAAAATACTTCTTTGCACCGCTATTGGAACATCATGTAGATTGATAAATATTTGTATCCTATTTAAGGACGGGAATAATTTCTAACCAACATAGAAACTTCAAACGTAATGAAGACAAAATAAATTGTACTCCTTGTGTGCTTTGTTTTTGAATAAGCACGAAATTTTGCTGATACTCACACACTACTCGTTAGTTGTGCAACTAAACAGTTGAATTGGCTGCGAAACAATCGACAATCGCACAACAGTTCTGCTATAGTTTAGTCAAAAGTGTGCTCTCTAATAAAATAATATGTATGGTTAATCCAGTAACTAACAAGTAAGTGTAAATGTTATGGACATAGGATCTAGTCAATTGGGATATAAAGGGATGTATATGTATTGTAACGTCACACATGTATTTCCTTGTTTAGAGTTTTAAATAATCTGTTTAAACAGCTATGTGACGTTTTAATTCTCCGTGTTATCAGGCGGCAGTCGACAGATTGTCTGGAGGAGCGCAGAGTCGAGTGCGCGATAGCTGCTTAGAGCTGATAAGAGACACTCGCTTTTTATGAGCAACGTATTTTATGTATGTATTTTATACAGAAAGAGGTAAGCAGTGATACAAGTAAATAACACGATATTACATTCATAGATTAATTTTAATTCCACTTGTTGTTTTTTTTTTTATTTTGCAATTTCGTGGGGTGCTAAGCTTTGTACCTAAAATTCGTTTAAATTTTAACTACATCCTCTTTGAATCTTTCCGAAGAAAGTATGGATTGTGTGACATAGGATAACCTCAGAAGGGAGTGCTTTTAGATATGACGGCTGTATCCTCTGTGAAATTTAAACATTTTTTGTATATATCTTTAGTTGTCTATATTTTGTTAGCCGATAGGTAAATATATGATCATAACTATCATTAAAATATCATATCAAAGTAAAACGATATTCTGTAAACATTGTGTTACGAGATCAATGTATGCAGAGAGCGTTGCACCGCCATTAAATATACACGGACTTTTATTTGCCGATACTCGGATGTAATGACGTGTAAGTTGCGCCGGGGGCCGCTTTTAAATAAATGTACATATCCAGGGATTTATACGTCGATTCCCTGTCACACGTTTGACGAGGGAACCCGGCGATGGCACACGTGGCAATTTTCCAGATTTCGAATTTACCATTGTAAATATCAATCACTTTTACATGTCCTCTAGCATTTTATTGGCTTATTGTGATGTTTTTTAATTTGGCAATTCATCATGACTCGGTCTGCCAACACCAAAGTGAATGCACTAAATTATTTACGAGCTTGGTACGGATTTGATGTCAGAGTCCTTGATGTTTCCCCAAGCTTAATGTGACATTGAAGAATTTGTACACGCGAACAATGCCTTATCCAGCTTTCTTTATCCATTGTTATCGTTACGAGTATGTAATGGACACATGGACGTATATTTATACGAACCACTCTCTACATATAGTTAGTCTGTATAGAAGAGCGTTGCACTATCCTTTCAATTAGCCCAACACATACGTGAATCCAATCGAATCGAGCACAAATCCACGTTACATCGTCCGGACCTTAATATGTTCCTTATAAAACCTCCCCTAACAGGAGCGGGGGCAAATTAATTTAGCCTCAGCTATTTGACATTCATTTCGGGCCGGCAGCACCCTTGTACGAGTTGCCTTAATATGTGCCAATTGAATTAATCAACAGACGTATCTGATAGTTGGTATCTTGTGTCGCAAACGTAAAGGGTGCATAGTAAAACCAATTAGTGGTGGAATGTGATTTGCCGATAAACAAGAAGTCAGATTGCAGTCGATGGAATCGTAAATCGGATATAGACACTTCGCTGAACTCTGTATGGGTAATAGTAAGCGAGTAATCAAACTAATATTATAAATGCGAAAGTTTATATGGATGAACGGATGTGTGTTAGAGTTTGTAGCCGAAACGGTGTAACGGATTTCGATGAAATTTGGTGTAGATGTAGAGGATAGTCTGGAAGAACACATAGGCACCCTTTTGTTTATTTAAATTCCACGCGGACGGAGTCGCGGGCGAAAGCTAGTAATCTATAATTTCTACAAGCAGAGCGTAATTTGTAGATTTTCAATGTACAATAAAAAAAAAACACTATCATTCTATGAATATTCTAATCAGAAACTTTCTGGGTCCTAAGCTAAGTTGAAACTCTGTTATCAAAGTATCTTAGGATAGTTCTAATCAATGATTTCCTCGGAACAGTGTGTTCTAAGGTCTGTAAGTCAAGCCTAAGGACGTTACTTCGGCTGCAGAATACCAACTCAGCGATTAGCATGCAGTGCGCGCCGGTGCTGTCGTGGTACGCGGTCAGAATCAAGACCAGAGCAGAGACCGGCGACCAGAGACCGCAGACCGGCTGGTCTCTGGAACATCAGTCCGCAATACTATGGCATACGATTTTTATGCCGATTGACTTATGACGTCATAAACCGTTGAGGTTCAACAATTTTGGAATGGCAAGTTTTAAAAATAGTCAAGGTAACCTAGTTTAAATTCTAAAGTAAACTCTATTTTTAGTAGAACAAGGACGTAATTAAAACAAAAATTACCGAAATAAATGTTTAAAACAAAACAATGTCGTTAATGTTGTACATGTGCTTTGTAACATTTTGTTTGTTGAAAAATGTTATTATTTTTAGTGACACCTGTCGTCAAATTCCCTGTCATCGACCTCACCTCGTATTACGTGGATATGACACTCGTGTACACTGTGATAGGTAACGAAGGGTCTGCAGGTCAACGAACCCTAAATGCCTTTTATTACTTTCCAAATTGACATTTGCTTAATTGCTGGTGACGGTGTCTTCAGCCCACGTGAAAGATCTGAGTCGGCTAAAGTGGTTTTATAATGAGCAATATTTTGCTCAAATTTAATTATTGTTTAAAAAAATTCAGCTTTCTTAAACTATCTTCTTACAAATCTTATAAATGCGAAAGTAGAGATGGATGTTTGTTAGAGTTTGTAGCCTAAACGGTTTAACGGATCTCGATGTAATTTGGCATAGACTTTGAGGATAGTTTATAAGAACACACAAGCTATATACTTTGTTTTTTTTTTAAATTCCATTCGGACGGAGTAGTCTATACTTGACATCTCTTTCAATGTCTACAATATATTTAAATTTGTTATATTGTACGAATTCATTGATTCCTAAAGCTTTGAATAATTTACTTAATCTATTTCATGTTAACCTTCCGTCAGAACATCATTAATATGCTGAGTCAGTAATACGATATAACCTTAACTTATCTGACAGATCTATTTACCTATTGAATGTAACGAAGGTTCGAATACGAGCATATAACAGTACACATAGGTGTGAGAATACAAACTGGTTCTGAATTAGATAAAATTTTAATTTATTTACTATCATGTATCGCTTAAGATTTCTTGAAGACATACGGGAACTATATAATTAAATAAAATATAGAGCAACTTAAAGAGTAACGCAGAATTGTGTCTTTTTGTATCGAAATAGATGCGAATGATTCTCCTAAAAAGTTGAAGGGATATTTAGAAAAGCATAATCTTGAAGAATACGGGCTTTTTTTTATCTATGCTCGGACGGAATTGATGGTAAAAGGTGGTGTATAAAAAGCATACTCACGATATTCAGCTGTTTTTAGGTCCTTTGCATTCTAAAAGCGAATGGCAACCTATGGCGACCTTCTAAAGACCGTTTAATTAAGCAAATTCACAAATAAGATTTGCGAGTGCCCGGCGAACCCGCCTCGACTATTATTCAAATTTATTGCTTTAATTTTATATGCCCTTCCTTATATTAGGCGTTTCATTACACCGTTTTGATGATAGCATCATATTTTGCCACTCATAATATCTACTGTTCTCGAATTTTATGATGGCCTCAAATTTTATACGTTCTGAGGCTTTACATAATTGGGGAGTGTAAATTTTTTATACTTAAACGATGGTAGTGGAATTCTTTTGAAGTTGTAGGGATTCATTAGTTTTTCCAGTCAAATATAGCCTTGGTGATGATGAAATGTCAATTTTCTTTATGTTAATACTTACTAATGTTTTTTTACTTTTATTATACTTACAGATTTGCTGCTGCTTCAAGGTGTGATGATGCCGCTAAACGCGTGTGGATTATTGGAGAGTTGCCTGGATTATTAGCGTCTCCATGATGCCAGTTATATGCCAGCACTGGTTTTGACCACTACTGCTCAACAATACTGGCACAAGATGACAATATCGAATATTGTGAAAAATATTAACTTTAACTCTTGCTAATATTAATTATACTTAATAACTCAGAAGGTTTTTATTATTTTTGTTTTTAAAGTCAATCTATATGTAACGTTTTCTTATAAATATGGCGTTTTCTTTAAGGTAAGGCTAGTTTGTCCACAATGTATTTTGTGATAGGATATGGAAAGGGTAAGTAAAAATCTGGTTATTTTTTATAAACTGGATGATTTATTTTTACCATATAATAATATATATTCATTATTGAAACAAAGTACGATACAAAATGTACATGTTCTTCTTAAATCCATAACTACAGTATCGTTATTCCATACTTAACAGTTTAAAAGACTACGTACATTATATGCAGTTACTGTACCTTAAAAGGTAATTTTTTAATTTATACAACGGACGTGGGGACGCCATCGCGTCGACTGCGGCGCGGCGACCGACGCCACGCCAGACTTACAATACAAATAAAACCCTTATACTATTGCAGGACAATAGATTATAATAAAATAAACCCAATAAAGGGTAATTTTCATTCGTTCAAAAGAACCGTGCGTTGTATTCATTTCGCTTAAAACAAACGTTCACCTAATATTTACAATGTTTTAGAACTGATTGCTAGGGGGCGCTAGGTGAGCGCCACCACCCGCGCTATTTGGTAAGCCGAAAATCAGAACTGTTTAGAGCTACTTAAAAGAGATCCATCGGTAACGGTATCTAAGAGCTTCATTAGTTTTTGGTATAAATTGAAAAAAAAAAACACTAATTAAAAAATCAGGTATCAATGACAAAGGCCACTACGAATTGTAAACGCGTACGAAGTGAGACAGCTCTAATCAAAATAGACGGAGAGAAGAGAGTACGACAAACTGAATTTGTCTAAATTCGACTCAAAAAATTGTTACAAAAGACTAGAATTGCTCGAAACACACTGTCGTGTGAAACTAAAAGCTACATTAGCGTCGCCATGATCCTAGGCTAAGTCTAGGAGGCAGCTACCTTTCCCATAGTTTTTTGAAGTAGATTTCGATTCTCTAGGTCAGCTCCTGTCCTGGCGACGCCAATGTAAAATATGTGGCCTCAAGTTTATCATCGAAATATTTACAAAGGAAACGAGTGCATTTTGATGACGGAAATGACCTCAGTCCATGTTTAAAGCCTGTATTAGCTTTTTTAATCCCTTTCTATTGCTATGTCGTATGAAACAAGCACACAATCTCATAGTATACGTATATGCCACTACTCATACAACCTTATAATTACTTGATAATTTTAATGGACCTTTATTATTTTTGTTCCTAGAAAACTTGATCAAATAAAGCATATTTACATAACAAATAGAATAACTTGAAATGTACAAAATCAACGAATTACAACTGAAACAGCGGTATTGAATTTAAAATTATAAATTGTTAGAATAAAATGTATAGATTTTTTTTGGGAATTCCACAAAATTAAACATTAAAAGGCAGTATTTTTTTTTTGTAATTATTGACTGAAAAAATAATGTAAAACAATTGTAATGTTAACCGTTTGTCACTAATATTATAATAAACTATTATTGTTACGCCTATATTAGTTCCTTGATTCAGATTGTGCGAAGTTTTCATTTGTTTATCATTATTATTAAATTTATCATTATACCAATAAATATTAATAAGACATCTACTTCAACAAAGACTTCATACGTCTAAACATCCTCTACAAGTTGCCTCCAACGTACATCACTTAATAACTGTTTACTCTTATAGACACCAATTAGAGTTAATTACAATTACACACAGTTTAAATGTGCCATAGCCGTGAAACAATATTTGTTGTGTAAAAGAAAATACACCCTAAGATAAGTCGCTTAACGATTAAATTAACAGCCAATACATACATATATTACACATATAATTACGTTCAAAAACTTTTTTCAAACAACATAACAAGAATATTTTTAACTTTTCAGTTCTGTGAATCAATCACTAACATTTTTTCAATTGAATCGTATTTTTAAACTTATATTACGCACATACATTAATATTTAAATGTTAATTTTAACCTAATCGCTGTCTTTGTCGGAAAATGTATGTCCACTTGATATTGAACTACCAAATCGGTAAGCTTTTTGTCTATTGCCGTGTGATCTCAAATAGTGACATAAGAAATGCTTCTCACATTGAATAAAACAAAAGACAGGGATATATAGACAATATTTCGAATTGTAGAAAGTGTCTTATTATAGTCAAATTTATAGAAGTTACATTGAGACCACAAGGTTGGCTATCCTAACAATTGATTTGTTTTATTTTAATCCATAAAACGAATCAATTGTACAGGATTTGGTTAAGAGCAGATTACACTGATTTGTAACATTTCCTTCATATCATAATATCTACTAAATACCCTACAGTAACTACAACGTCTATGATATTTACTTTCTTTGAGACGTTTATTTACCCTCTAATTTTTGTCACAGTATCGCTTTATTTTGACTTTCATTTATATTAACAATTTCTCAATACTTATTTACATTAAAACAATTCGACAATTTAATGAAAACTTTACAAGAAGGCTACGAAGGAACAAAGCCTAGAAGCACAAAAGTTTAAACTCCGCGGGACATCGGCACACGCCGAGAAAGGCATTTCATAACATTTTTTTCATTTTTCAAAAGGGACTTTATACAATCTAGTATTTAACACAAAATATCAAAACCCTGATAATTCCAAACATTATTGAAGAACCACAACAAGCGCTAAATTACAACATTAAATTCGATGTTGTGCTAAAAGTATTCGGAGTCTGTCTCTCCTTCCCGCAGATAAATATTGAACACACATTTTACCACATCGGTGTTCAAAACCACGGCTCTAACTATCCATTTACAAAAAAAATCAACGGTTTCGTCTTAAAGCATCCGAACTGTATATTAATTTACAATAGACGTACAAACTACAAAATTTGAGCGTTCGTGTTACTATAAATATATTGCTTTTACTCGATGAATCGATTCAGTGAAAGCTAAATTGACAATGCTAGATATAGGACTGGGAACGGAAGTGGACAAACACTAAAAATGTATTCATAAAAAGCAAAAGTTGCCGCTAACAGAGAAGCGAAATGTAGTTTTAGTGTCCATGTTGGAGTAGAGGCAAAGAAATGGCGGCCATCGATACCAGAATAAAGATCTGTTCACATCAATAAGAGTAATTTAGTTACAACACAAGTTATGATACCATCTGTCGATGCAAAGAAAACGTGAGTACTGGGCCGGCAGGAGGTAGATGTAGTGGATTGTGCGGGCGACTTTATGTTCTAAGCGATGGCAATAAGAAGTAGAATGGCGTGTGAAGCATGACATGTGAGCTGCGGTGCTGAGGGCTACAAGTGAAGCAATTACCTCCGTATACAAAAGTGCCGTCATTAGTCGTCGGCGGTATTGGTACTGCAGATCGCAGCGCACATGTCAAGCCTCAACAGAAATCAATATAAAATGCAAGTCTGGCTTCCGAAGAGACCTTAAACATTACAGAAACAGCGTCTATATAACCACTACTCGCTTATAAAGATATCTTGAGCATCGCTAAAATATACACATCATGAAGAGTTCCAAGTTATTAGGCACAATATTTTTTTTTTCTTAATTTCATTATAATACATGTATATGAAGTACATCGCTCTACGACACAAGACAGTTCATACAGTTGCATAGTTATGTATAGAACGCACATTTTGCGTCTCACTTTAAAAATAATTAGATTTCCATAGACACTTACTAAGAATTACATGAAGTTTTTACATAATACATTTATAAGAATATAATAATATAAGTAAAGCATTTCTTCATTATCGATTAGAGCACAACGGACCCCATACATTTATGTACTATATTTGAGTGACACAGAATATTTACAAATATTGGGACTTTCTTATCTGAGACAGTATATTAAGAAGGTTTTTAGCATATCTTAAAGTGACCGAGGTTACATTCGTGTTTGTATATTACCCCGCTAACTGACAACGTTACATGGAATTGACAGATTTCGCGAATTCTTACACAATTTAGCAATGCAGAGCTGTGGACGCCGGGCCAGCAAACGCCAACACATTAAGTACAACATTCGCCGACAGACGGACTCGTGAGCTTGCAAGTAACTAATTTTATTTATAAAAAGTTTTATTAAAGTACGGACTAATTCGTCAAACGGACGCCCGACTTCCACAGCAAAGCAAATTATCAAAAATAGTTACATCATAGTTTTCCTTCATTAAAATTATGCCCAGTTCTAAAAATTAAACAGTTAGAGAAGCTAGCGCGGCTAAAACTAATCTATGCGATATCAGTCTCCACTAGAACCTTACAATTTAGAAATCCATAAAGTAAATCACAGAGTTTGAAACAGCAAAACATTTGAGTGAAATAGAACTAGTGTTTTGTTCGTACGTTTACTTTTACCACCGTCCCGCGATACATTAGCTCCCCTCTTTGATATGTATCATCCCACAGACGTTCTCGTCGAAGTAAGCTTGAAGAAAGAAAGGAGAGAGTTGAACAGTGTCCCTTCGTATGCTGATGGGCCGTCACTGCATGTGGATACGACGCCAGAAGATCATAACTTATCACCGATCGAAGATAACCTTACCTTAAACGACCTAACGTACAAATAGCAAGACATATCAAATCGAAACTCCTACGAAGCCTTCGCCGGGCGCGGGCTGTCGGGCGTAGCGCCGGGACAGACAAGCAGCAAAGCTGCGGGCGCGCGCCGACAGCCCGCGCTCGGCGAGCCCTACTCTCACTCCAATGTGCCTACTCGAAATATCCGCTCTCCCAAATTCTTTCAATGACATACCGATTAGCTTCCGAAAAGGAAATTATAAATGTACTAACTACTATGTGTGCATCAAAGTATAAAGTGAACTTACGTACAGTAAATAGAACGCAAGGCAAACCTGACTATAACCTAGTCTTATTTTTCTATTCTTCGAATGATACATATTTCATCTATTATTTCAGAACATAAAAATGACAATCGTCCTTAAAGTAAATATAAAATGATAAGGCGACTTAAGAGTTGCAAACGAAGTGTTTAGAAGCCAAGTCGAGTAATGTACACGTAGAGAAAAGGGCGCGGGGCGCGAGGCGCGCGGCGAGACTCGACTGGGCCGGGCGGCCGGCGACGGACAGATGAGACGGATCGTTTACTGAGATGCGTCCGAGACGTGCCCTTCGGAAATCGGACCGATCGTGTTTGTGTCGAACGTAATTCAACGAAAGCAACACCGTAAAAAGAATTAACTCACAGCCTATGTATAAATGAAAACTCTTCGCTTCTCGTCTTCGGCGCACTCGCGTCGCGGCGCTCTACAAACACTAATCGAGAAAACAAGGGAGACGAGGAAGAATGCGGTCGCCGGCGACCGGTCGACGAAATTAAACAGTTTCACCCTCGAACCTTATTAAATAACTTTGTACATTGAATCCAAAAGTCGACACAAGATTTTGGATGTAGGCACTCTCTAGGCGGGCGGCGAGCGGGTGACGAGCGGGCGACGAGCGGGCGGCGAGCGGGCGCGTAGTCGGCCCGCGCGGCCCCGTGCGGCCCCGTGCGGCGGCTCGGCAATGAGATCAGGGGAGTGGCGGCCGCGCCCGGCAGCGCGCCCGGCACCGCGCCGGCATTACGTCAGGTACGAGGAGAACGTGTGGTCCACCCAGTCCCCAGCTACGCCGATCTCGCTCAACATGTCCGACACGTCAGGCGTGCACGAGAACTCGAAGTGCGAGCCCGACGACGAGGACGCCGTCTCGAACGACTCCATGTCGGTCGTGAGCGCGTCCAGGTCCACCTCGCAGTCCGCCGGTAGCGGCAGCAGGTCCGTGATCGAGTACAGGTCCGTCAGGTCGGCCTGCTCGCGCCGCATGCTGTCGTCGTAGAGGCATGCGGACTCGGGCGAGTCAGGGGCGCAGGCGGGCGAGGCGGGCAGCGGCGGGGGTGCGGGCGTCTCACCGGGCAGACCGGGCAGGCCAGGGAGGCCGGGCGCGCCGAGCGCGGAGGGCGCAGCGGGCGCATGTCGCGGGCGCCGCCGGCCGCTTCCCCGATTGTTGTTGGAATCGGCGCGCTGCTTGCGCTTCTGCTTGGTGACAGCGCCGGTGCGCTGCGCGGGCTTGCCGGTCTTCTTGCGCGGCCGGTATTTGTAGTCGGGGTACTCGCGCATGTGCAGCTGCCGCAGCCGCTCCGCCTCGTCGATGAACGGCTGCCGCGCCTCGTCATTGAGCGTCTTCCACAGGCGGCCCAGGTTCTTCGAGATCTCGGCGTTGTGCATGTCAGGCGTCTGCTCGCATATTTTTCTGCGCTCAATCTGCGACCACACCATGAACGCATTCATGGGCCTCTTTATGTGATTGGGGTTGTTCTTCTTCGTCTGCAACAAAGAAAATATCGTCTGTTAGTGAAGGTCACAATTTCAAACGAAAAACGGCACCACGGACGGTCAATTTAGGTTAAACTATAAATCGGAACGATATTCCAGTCCGAAAATCAGCGTTATCTGTTTAATTGTGGCGAGCGTAATTATTATTTCAGGCATGTCCGATCCGCCGAGCGCGCCGGAGAGCCGCTCGTGGCGAATTAGTATGCATGACGTTGCACCATTAAGTCTGCGTCCTTACTATTAATGATATTGTTATCATAGGAATTATTATTATTACAAACAAGTCGAAATCATAATATATTCTAATAGATCGGTAGCGGAAAATTTATATTATTCTCGATGTAGAAATAAGTAATAGAATAAGCGATGGTCGGTTTACTCGTAATACGGGATAGCGGAGAGGTGAGCGATCTAATTTTAATTTCATTTCAAGTAATGCGATGTGGTTCCATAACTCTGCCGCTGCACTAGCCCCGCACACGCGCCGCACACGCACCGCAAACGGCACGCACCTGCGCCGCACTCGGGTGGGTAGCTTCCGCATCGGATGCACGTTGTAAACATTGACGAACGAGGATAGTAAAGGACGGAGGAAGTTATTATCAAATCGTGTAGGAAGTGCTAAGGACGCTCGCATCGAAATGTTCATTTTATGTTACTTCTAACGACGAACGGTCGGTACCCGTAATCGTATTTGGCGGGCGTACTTCAAGGTATCTAAGGAAAAATTTTACTCTCTATTTCGCAAGACCTCCGAAAACGTATAAAGTTACGTCGAACCATGAACATAAGCGAATATCTCTTTTATTATTCAAATCTTACTTTCGCTAAACTACGTTCAGCTGGTAACGGGGAGAAGAAAAAACTCCCACTCGTCTTTTTTTGTTCATCTTATTTATATTCAGTACAAAAAAAGGGTTTGTCAGTCGGCGACTAAATCAAGTTCGGAGCTCGCTCCGGCCGGCGATCAAGGTGAACCGAATAGAGGTAGACCGTTTTTTGTACCACTAAAAGGTAACCCGGCTGATGCTAAAATTATTATTACTAATTGTGAGGTAGTAATAGTGTTAATACGAAGAACCTACAAATTTTCATACATATTCAACAACCCACTTTTGTCAAAGGTAGGTTTTAATTCACATAACTATTATCTAAGTCAAACCTAGTCTTAGTTTACTTCAGTCATTAACAATGTTTTAATACAATTTCGCTTTTGTTAGAGTAATCTTAACAAAACTTGTTTAATTAGTGTAAATCCAAGACAATCATGAAACTGCTTAAATACATGTTTGTTTCGCAAAGACGTCTCAGACACGTTGATCTCTTTACGAACAGACGACATCGTTAACAAGAACAAAGTGAGAGTAAACTTGTAGAAACAAAATGTACTGTCAAATGTATAATCAATCTTAAGACGGATAAAAAGAAGTTATATTCAACAGTCTAGAACAAAAGAGAATCTACAGGAATAGGCTAAAATAGGTTATTAAATAAACTAAGGAGAGAGTATCCACAACAATCTGACTAATGTTATAAACGGGAAGGTTCCATGGATGGATGTTTGATGCAATTGAGCATAGATGTAGAGGATAGTCTAGAAGAACACATCGGCTATTCACTTTTTAAATTCTACGCGGACAGAGTCGCAGGTAAAAGCTAGTACTTGATATTGAACAATTTTAGTTGATATTGATGTTTCAAGTAATTTCATAATATCACGATAGATTATAAACATTTGCACTGCGCGGAATACACTTCAAGATGTTTGATGGCATTGATTTTAGAGTGTGCACTCACCACACAACTCTTAAGACGTTAATCTTTATATATACAATATAGATAAATCATTGCTGATTAACGATAACGTCATTTTACATAGCAACTATATGGAAAACTCCTAGAAACATAACAATCTATATAGACTACAAATATGGTTTACTTTTAACATAAAACTGTTTTTTTCATTCAGATTGTCTAGTCTTGCATTTGCTAGTTGATTCTCTTAGCTTATAATCATGAAATATTCATATTTGTCATGTATCAACGTTGAAAATAAAATCCGTCGTGTTAAGACTCGACGTGGACATGCGAGTGCACGATCTCGGTTATCCGTCATGTTCAGGAAGCGAAGTGGTCGCCCTTGCAGCGGCGCGGCTACGCGGCCCTCATACAGACTAGATACTACCAAATAGAAGGTTGCTAGGCCATATCTAGCCCCAGGATCACGGCCTCTCCACTTTTTTACCTCTACGTATCTCGTGTCTTTCGCTTTTTATGTCAGGAAGACGTGTGATCGATGTAGACCTCATTCGTTCTACATATGGACATTGGTTGGCTTGTTCCGTCATAAAACTGTTATATGATTTAGCTACGTATTTGAAAGGTTGTTATTATAATTGAGTAGTTCACTTCCTTTTATAGACGAAAAAATATTATACTTATCTGTTATGGAACTAAATTCAATTTGTTCCTTTTTAGATTGTACTATAAAGAGTAACTAGATGACATGGACCATGAGGATTTTATTTAGTACATTGCAAATAGCCATAAAACTATAATAAATGATAAAAGACTTATTTGGATATATATCGCTAATTTAAACCAACTAGAAGCAATTAATCCTACCATATATAAAAATAAAGACGATAAAAATCATGGAGTTATCGTTGAAGGTAGGAAAAGTCAAAATAAATCATCAATACAGAAGTTCATTAAATCAGAGGCGTGCATTGCCCATAATCGCTCGTTTGTTCTCAACAAAACGAAAATGCCAACATCGAACAAATTAATAAATGAATTTACGATTATCAAGCTCGAAAACACGCAGTTGAAGTTTCCGCGTATTTAAATAGCACGTTTATTCAATTCCGGAGTTTTCGCAAGCTAAATGGAGGTCAGAGACGCGATAAGACTCTTAAAAGATGATTAATAATGACTTCCTTCGAGGGAACTGGTTTTTAACTCATGTAGACAACCGGTCGCGAAGTCGATTCCTTCGATAATTTTGATATCGCCTTGTCGAGGCCTACTTGTAAACTATTATACTAACATACTGTTCTATTTTAGTAGAATATTAACAAAATTTACACGATTAAAACATGAGAAAACTTACTATCATCATTAGAAATACTGAAAGGGAAAACGGAAACCATTACACAATAGACGAAGGTACAGATATAGCAGACGTACAAAATCTGATACTCCATCAAGAGCTTAAGCACTTTAGAGAGGGAGGATTTTAACACATTATGCGATCTACGTTAAAGGGCACGAGAAAATATTAATGAAGATGTTGGACAATCCCAAGTCCTTTAGACCAGAACAAAGGCCCCCGGGGACGGCGATTAGGCCGGGCCTCATTGTAATGATGCCGCGCCAGATGAGGCCTTTTGTGTTCCTTGATAATGACTTATAATAGTCAAAATGAAACTTTCTGGAGATACGCAAACTGCACGGATGTCTAGATATTATTGTTACAGTTACTTTGAACTAAATTAAATCAATTTCTCATCTTTTATTCTGTTATCTAAATAATACGATTTACTTTTCTGTCTATTCAATTACATGATAGTGAAAAAATACCAATCAGTATAATATTTTAAATATAAAAATATAAATTGAAATCTAAAGAAAAATCATGATTGAGATATTTAATTTGTTTTAAGTGTAAAAATAGACGTAAAAACGATAGATACAGAACTCGGAGAACGAGAGAGGGTTTTCGCTTCACCGATCCTTTTATTAACACGGAGCCTTATTACCGAAGCAATTGGTTCGTTCGCTTCAGAATAAAGAATCGACGACATCTTGCGCTTTATTAACTTGGAATTGTCGAGTTTGCTGGAATTATTACTGTGTTAAATATGAATAGCATCCAGAGGCGTGCTGCGGACTTTTATAAAGATATAAACTCACTGAATATTTAAGCAGACGCTTTTGTCTAGTGATGTTTATTCAAAACTTACAACGCTACGTAAATGAACTTGCAAAACTTCGAATTGTCTTTGAATAAAATTTCCGAGACCGCGAAATACTTAATACTCCTACATTTAATGTTGAAATGACCCCGCTGCAAAGAAATCGCCTTCCATTTTCAAAGTTGACGGTTACATTGCTGGAAAACAAAAGAACGATTGTAGAGAGCAAACACAAAGAAACAGAGCGGTCGCGTCGAGCAAAAAGCTAGTCTCTAAATAGAAAAGAAGATATCGAGAGGTCTTGGATTGTTTTAAATTTAAATGTCTGTCGCAGTGAGGACTCGAGCCGCTAGTGTTGACGATATATGTTAAGTAGGGCGTCTAGAGAAAAGGCTGCGGGCTATCGCTGTATAAGGAAGAGAATATAAATTGCTTATAAGTCAAGGATTCTCGAACGACGCAGTAGGGACGTATCGACTCGTAACGCGCAATTATTAACTCAAGGAATACTCTAGAAGGTTTATTTTACATTATAATATTAACTGAACGTTTTGAAATCTAGCTAATTACGTTTATCGTAGGCATTATGTTTAGAGCCTTACAGTAATGTGTAATAACTAATCTAAATAGATTATATACGATAAACATAGTTAATGTAAATTACTTCGTAGATATAACTAATGGTAAATATGAAAAATTATTGTGGTAATTTAAAATGATCAGAAAATTATCATCATCTCGTATAGTCAAAACAAATTGTTAGTGATAAATCGCACCGTTGCGAACAAGGCTTTTTGTCAATCCAAAAGTCAGAAATGACAGCGAATCAGAATGAATTTGAATATGCTGTAGCGAAGCAATTATTGTTTGAGTTGGAGCGTTGTACGGCTCGCAGTCAATGCGGTGGGCGTCGCAGCCATCCATCAAGTTTCGTAACGCTCAGGGTTACGGAATGTACTTCAATAGATAATCATACTATTGTTGACTTATGGTTATAGATATAATCATTGTTCGATTCCCTTGGGATCGTATACTCACATTGACCAATCGTAAATATTATAAATGCAAAAGTTT